TAGAAAGATCAGAGAAGAAGAAGAAATAAGAGGAATGAAAATTAAGAGAGAAGAGTATAAATTACAAGCGTTTGCAGACGACTTAGTTTTTATTCTTGAAGATCCATTAGAAACAGCATCCAAATTGCTGGAAAGAATAGAGGAATACGGAGAAGTAGCAGGCTTGAAAATAAACAAAGATAAAACAAAGATCATGACAAAGAATATCCCAGCTACACAAAAGGAACAGTTGTCAAGAAATGTTGCAGATTCAAAACACAAGTAAGATTAAATATTTGGGGATACATTTATCACCTAGATGTAGCACTCTTAAAGAGGATAATTATATCAGATTAAAACGACAAATAGCAATCGATTTGGAGAAATGGGAAAACTTGCATTTATCAATGATGGGAAGAATTTCCACAATTAAAATGAACATTTTACCTAGAATTCTATATCTGTTTCAGACAATCCCAATCAGACTGGGTAAGGATTTTTTTCTAGATTTAAATAAAATAGTTTTGAAATTTATTTGGCAAGGGAATATAAAGAATGTTATGGTAGAATTATAAAAATAATGTCTATAACGATGATGTACAGCATTATGTATTTAAAAGAGATTATAAATGTATGATTAAGAGAATATTGGTTATAATCAGGGTGTATAAAACTATGTATACTCAAAAAGGACTAGATATAGCCAGTACACTGCCACTGCAAAACTGGAAATGTGATGTATTATAAAGAAAAATGTACAATAAAAATATTTATATATAAAAAAAGAAGGCGGAGGACGACACTGCTACGTGTGGAAGCGCAGGGGAGGAAGTTTGCAGGAAGCAATTTCCTCCAAGTCCAACTTCTGCCTTGACAAATCTCTGAAGAGAAGCAAGGGAGCTGTGTGATGGAAGGCTGCCCCAACAAACCAGCATCCTTACCATGCACAATTGGAAATGGAGATTCCCTTTTGAGAAGGGCCAGCCTCCCTCATGCTTCCACATGAAGCAGCATTGTCCTCTGCCTCCTGCTTTGCTGGGAGGGGGCACCGGACAGGGAAATACCAATGATGTCTGGGATTGGGCGAAGAACATCTCCTTTGGTGTACTCTGCACATGTGCGCGTGCACCAACACACACAATCCAAGCTTGGAAACTTTTATCCACATCTGAGCTTGCAAACTGCCAATCATGCCTGGGCTTGGGGAGAGGGTCCTCTCCCCTCACTGTGGAGAAAAGTCCCCAAACTTAGAATGCAGTGTGTGTGTGTGTGTGTTTGCGTGCGTGCGTGCGCCAGAGATGGGTTTCAGATGGTCCTGTCTGGTACTTGCGTACCGGTAGCGATAATTCGGCCGTAGCTTGGCTGTGAGCAATTAGAAATCTTTACCATGCAAGGTTTTCCCTGCACTTGGCTGGGTGGGGGTGGGGTGGGGCGAGGCTTCAGGTTGGAGTAGGCAAGCACAGCCGCCACACCAAGAGGAGCACTTGCCTCCGTTGGGTCCATCTCTCATCCACAGCAGCACCCGCTGCTCCCTGCCACCGTGCACCTGCCCTCCGCCTTCGGAGGCAATGGAAGCAACCACTCCTCTTGGTGCAGCACACTTGGCTGGGTGGGGGAGTGGTGGTCCAGGGGCAGCGGGTGCTGGTGCTGCTGTGCTGCGGATGTGAGATGGACCCAATGGAGGCAAGGGCTCCTCTTGGTGCAGCGCGCTTGGCTGGGTGGGGGTGGGGTAGAGCAAGGCTTCAAGCATAGCCGCTGCACCAAGAGGAGCACTTGCCTCTGTTACCTCCAAAGGCGGAGGTCAGATGCGCAGCAGCAGGGAGTAGCGGTTGCTGCCACTGCGAGTGTGAGTGGAAGGTGCTGGGCATTGGGGTGGGGGACCTATGTCCGCCTCATAGGTTGCCCAGCAAGTTGCCTCCAAAGGATGCTGGGCCTGAACAGCTGTTATCTTCCTCCCAGGCAGAGAGAGCCCAGGGCCAAGCCCATTGGCCTCAGCCGCCACTTCAAGAGCAGGCTGCTTGACTCGTCCCCTGTGCCGTCCAAGAGACAGCAAAGAGCCCTGGCCTGGGGCCCCCTCCTTTGTCAAAAATTTTTACTACTGTTTCAGTCGGCCTAACTTGGTGTGGGGGGGATGTGACTTAGTGTGCATGAGTGACGTCAGGTTGGTCACCCACCTAGCCATGCCCACCGTACCGGTAGTAAAAATTTTTGAAACCCACTACTGGTGTGTGTGCGTGCATGCACTCGCTTGGCTGCCAGCAGTTTGGGGAGACTTGGACCTTATTCAGCACTGAATTGTCCCCTGTTCTGACCTAGGCTTCCCAAGAGCATGAAGCAAACTCCTGGTCCCAACAAAAACCACTTTTATTAATTTACTGTGAATTCTGCTCATTCACATACAATAAAGTCTTTCAAGGGAGGATTTACTGTCACAGACCTTATCTGGCATAGAGAACTGCCAGGCCAATATCTGCAAAACCTGGCAAGGAGTCTCGGAGAGTAACGAGCCAATTAAGTGAACTAATTGTTTCCTGCAAACTCCACTCCCCTTTCGCTCCTCTTCCAGTTCCTCTGGGAGGGGGCATTCATCATCCACCTGTGGCCCTACTCCCAAGTTGACCCCTGTTCTTTAGCTGTTCCCTTCGTCTGGCAACTCTGCGCATGCGCACACTAGGAACAGGCTCCAGCTGTTCGTCTGCCTCACTGATTTCTGACATATGCAGCTGATAACTGACATATGGCTCTGGCCACCTCTCTGCCTCCAACACAGAGCCCTCATCAGAGCCTTCCTCAGACTCCAGGTGTCAGGCCTGCATTTATATTCCTTTTAGAATTTTGGCCTGCCACACTTTCTCTAATTTCATTATGCTGTTTCTTTAAGTATAGTCAATGAGAGGGGGGAATTAGAAGGAGTAGGATTTTGGAATGTATTGTTTTCATTCTTTGCTAGAAGTCAAGGTCATCCTTTGTCTCCACACTTTCACACCTGACTGGAAGAAGCTGGGCATGGACGCCAGCATGAAAGAAGAAGATTGGACCATGTGATGGACTGTGGGTGTGGGGGCAAGATAATGAACTTTTGGCTTCGAGGGGAGGAGCTGCCGCCGTCGGGAGCTCAATAAAGCTCCTNCTGACTCTGTAAACCGCTTGGAGAGGGCTGAAAGCCCTATGAAGCGGTAGATAAGTCTAACTGCTATTGCTATTGCTAAGTCCATACATTGTGGCTGGGGAATTCTGGAGGCTGGAGTTAAAAAATGATGGCTGGGGGAATTCTGGGAATCGAAGTCCACACATCTTAAAGTTGTCAAGGTTGGGAAACGCCGGTATATATGTTGCAATGAACCACACAACTGACTGAAACAGGCCAACTCTTCGCAGCCTGGGTCAGCGAGGGAAACACAAACCCACTACCTTTTCTTATCCCTCTGCTGCCCTCTGGCTGGCTCGGCCTCCTTGCTGGCCTTCTCATGGCCAGCAGGATTAAGAGGAGGCTTCGGGTCTGTGGAAGAAACGGGGGGCTTGGCAGCGGATCGCTCTTCCTTCTGTTGCTCGGGTTCAGCGCTGGCTTTGTCTGCACAGAAGCAAGGAAAATAGGAAAGTCAGCATGTGATAATCAAGGTGGGATAAGTACCTTCATAGAGGATGAACCCACGTGAGTTCATCCTGAAAACTACCCGTGGCAGCAACCTCTGTCAGGCCTGCAGCCATCTTTCCTTTTGGGTCTCTGGCCTGCCACACTTTCTATTATTCTGCTATGCATCTTCTATGGTGGGAAAATGGAAGGGGGTTAGATGATATGCAGCCATAACAACATTCTTTCTAGAAAGCCAAGGTCATCCTTTTTCTCTGCACCTCTGCGCCTGAGCGGAACTGGGTGGGTGGAAGCTGCCAGCGTGGCAGTGGGAGATTGGACTATGGGGTGGGCTTGTGGGCGTGGGGGAAAGTTCTTGAACTTTCAGCTGGGTGGGGAAAACTAGGAAACTTTCAGATTCAGGTTTTCCCAGATGTGCCAACGTGGCTCTCTTCATAAATTGGGACTTTGAGGAACTTTTTGCCTTGGACTCTGATTCACTCTTGGATGCTATTTGGAAGCTGCCTCCAATTAAAACCAATGTTCAATCTTTTTTTAGAACAGGCAGTCCTCGGCTTACAATCATCCATTTAGTGACTGTGCGAAGTCACACTGGCACTGAAAACAGCTCATGAACGTTTTTCACTCTTACGACTTTTGAAGCATCCCTGTGTGGTCACGTGGGCAAAATTCGCACCCTTGGCAACTGGCTCTTTTCTGGCTCGACTTACAACAGTTCATTTAGTGACCATTCAAAATTACAACAGCACCCAAACGACTTATGTCCGTTTTTCACACTTTATGACCGTTGCCGCACACACACACATACACCCCACGGTCACACAATTTACATCTGGGAGCTTGAGAACTGACTCACATTTCTGACAGTTGCAGTGCAGGGCCACGTGGTCCCTTTTTGCGACCGTCTGACAAGCAAAGTCAATTGGGGGGGGGCGGATTCACTTAACAACCGTCTTGCTAGCTGAACTATGCAGTGATTCACTTCATGTGTGGCGGGAAAGGCCGTCAAATGGGATAAAATTCACTTAACTGTCCTGCTTAGGAATGCACCATTTAGGCTCAATGGTAGTCGTTGTAAGTCGAGGACTTCCTGTGCTTACAATGGAGGGGGAAATACAAAGAGGGGCTCACCTTCTTTGCTAACAGCTGCCTTGCCAAAGAAGTTGTTCAGCATGTTTCCTTTTGCTGCGGCTTTGCTGTTGGTCACCGAAGCCTAGAAGAAATTTTTTAAAAAGGCAGTTAGAAAAGAAGATATTTGGCAGCGACGCCTTGTTGAACAATGAAGGAATAAGATCTCTGTTTGAAGGTATGAAATGCAAGGTTAACAATGAATAGAAGTATACTTTCTGGGGGGAAACAATGCTAATGTTAACTGAATATATATGGTAGAAGGAAAATGAGGCCTTTAGTTACATTAGAGGAAATATCTGAGATGGTAAACATTATTTGAAGATGCAGAGGTTAAAACAACTGTAACCAAACGACATGCTGC